AGTCAACCCGCATTGAGCAAGCGTGGCGATTAATGCTCAAACCTTCTCCATGTGAGAAGAGACCTTTGGTCAGCAGTAGCCAGTTATTAAACACCAATTTAGTAGCAAAGAGGTCGAATGCAAACTGTTTTTAAATACAAATTACGTTGCATTTCTTATTCATGTTCTTAACACGTATTGTGTTAAAGACAGCTCTAGTAAATCTAATGTGTTCAAATTTACGCTAAGCAATACAATAGTGTCTTTATCTAATATGTGTTTAGCATGTTACCAAATTTTTGTCGTTAAATGAGTACTTTAATAGAACGTTTAGTTATTACGATGAAGAGAAAATAATGTGGGCTTTTGCCCTCTCAATTTTTTTTAAGGGATTTCATCGAATTACTTCTCCTGCCCGGGTGAGACCAGAGGGAGTATCCGACACTTACTGACTCTTCACTTCGAGCCGGAGCCCCGGTAACTTGTTACGTTTTTCAAGGCTCCGTATCAGCATCAGCCCTATTACCCTTTACTATTTAAAAGTGTGAATCAAAGCAATGAGTTGGTATTAGTTAAAATATTATGACATCAGAGGTGTATTAGTATTTTTTGTTATGTTAAAGCAAATCATTTTCAGACCTCCATGGCTCCATCTTGATAACCAAATTACCTATTTTTCAAAGTGTGGGAGAGCCATGCTTCGGCGCGAAAGGGGCGGCTCGACCGGAGTGATACCACGGCCTCACAGAAAACCGACGTGAAGCAATGCTTGCGTTGTGTTTCGTCGTGTGAGTGAGGTTACCGGAGGCCCAATTACCCTCCCCTTCCCTAATATCCCCAATTCCTGAATCCCCAACGATCCTCAAACTCCTAATCCCCAAAAAACCGGTAACGCACTTGTAACGCCTCTGGTGTTCCTGGTGTCCATGGGCGATGCCGATTGTCATCAGGTGATCCGTCTGCTCATTTACCGGCTTATGCCATAAAAAAACCAATTTCCTTTCACCCTAAACCATTTTCTAACGCACAAGGAAATGTTCCTACAACAAACACTCATTAAAGTTCACCATGGAAGTAAATTCATGAACTAAAGCAATATTAAATGTTCTGAAACCATTGGTACAAAGCATTTAGTAGTAAGTTTATGTAACGCGTAAATAATGGATGTTGAGCTCACTCTCAGACTTTCTCATTATGCGAACAAAAATCCTTTTGCAAAGGAGTGAAAAATTTGTTCGCAATGTTTTGTACTCGTGAATCACTAGTGTGTGAACTTAAATGTTATGGTTTTGATTGCTTTAGTACGTAGATTACGATACATTTTTGATACTGTGTTTTGTTACTTAAATACTGTTGTGTATAAAATAGAACTTATTTTGGAACTCTTACTATTTGTAAACGACCACGGATATAAATGTTATATAAATGTTATATAATTATTTTTATTTTAATGTCCGTCTCGTAGATTATTTAAAAACATTAGACACGTATTTTTTATTTTTTACAGAAACGAATACTTTCGACGATATATTAATTTGAAATGTCGCGTGACGTCACTTCTATGTAGGTACATTTTATACGTAGAAATGACGTTTTAGCCCCCATTCCTAAATTCGTTTTATCTAAGTATTGTTTTATTATACGACAAAATAAAAAAATACGTGTCTAATATTTTCTCATTACCTAACTTACGGCCTAATTAGATTTTTTAATTTTCATACCCTGTCATCATCCCTATTACCGGAATACAGATATTGCTGAAATCTGCACACAATATACTTTTATTGTATCTAAAATAGCTGTAGTCTACAAGAAAATTGTTAAAATCATTAGAATTTTTACTTGATATGTGGAATTCGGTGCATTCCGTAAAAAAATTTAATTACACTTTTTTATGGGACAAGCCCGCCACAACTTCCCAACTCCTGTAAGCCAGGATCTACAGTATATACAACCGTGAAAACACCGGAACACTAAAGTCCGGTGCATAATAATCACTTAATTCTCAATACAAACATATTAAAACAATTACTTAAGACTTTGACTGCCAATAAAAAACTGTTGAAGGTAAATTCTCCGCTAACGCCGGTCACCGGTGACCCCCATGGCGTTTAACGTGTTAACACAAAAAACCACTAATTGTATCCAAGTTCCAACAGACTCTCATTACAAATACGAGTAACAATATAACTACAAACAATCTTCAGTAAAAGCTTTAATATTTGTTAAGTAACATGTTTACCTTCAAGAAGCTCGCGACCTCGTGGTGCGGAAATCACGTAACCAACTTGAATAGGTACCGATACCTATCTACACACATACATACAAATAAAAATACAGTACACTAATATAATATAGATTGTGTATAATATAGATGCAACATTGAGCAAGCATGGTGATTAATGCTGTGAAACAAGTGAATTTATTTCTGCAAATAGGCTACAAGGCAGCACTTTTACACGTTAATTTTATCAAGCGAACGATGAGGTCGACATTTCCTAACTGACTACTCTGAGAAGAAATGCCGAAACAAACTCAGAGGTCCGTCTCTTTTAAAGTCCAGACAAATATGTATAAAAAGATTATGTGTGAGAACCGTGCAAGTTCTTTCTGTAGTGGCCTTTTGAGGAAAGAACCACAACATTTTGAGCGGACCCGTTCTTAAGGCAGCTCAAACCTTCTTCGTTCAAGAAGAGGCCTTTGGTCAGCAATGGCCACTTATAGGCTGTTCAACATCACTTGTATTGTATGATATCCTAGTACACAGCTTGCAACTAATGTCATAATGTTTTATAATAACTATCGTGAGACATACTGAATTAACTAAAATTACGTTTTACTCACTTATATATACTGGGTAAAGCTCTACTAGTTTCGAACCACATAGGGATTCTTCCACATAAGCAGAGTGCGCGGTCGCGGCGACGTCACGCACCTTTTTGCAGAGCTTTTCTCATTACCTATATACTGTATAATTATAATTACGAATTATTATATTAATATAAATAATATAATTACGTGAGTAACATATAATTGTTAGTTAATATCATAATTTCAAACTGTCAAAAGACCTTTCAGTGGAAAAGACTACAGAAAATAAGGGATTTTTAAGTTAATTTTTAAGTTAATAAGTCTACTACGGTCAATTTGTGATCTACGATGAAGCACGTCATCCCATAAGCAAGCTATAAGTGTAAACAGATCCTCTTAAATCCTAAAGAGGCCAGCTCATATGGTGCAATTCCCTAGGGTTTATGTATTTATTACCTAAGGCTATACCAACGAGGTAGTCAAAAAACGAGATTGATAAGAATCTGTAGTACATATATCTGCTAACCGCTGTAGGGTCAAGCGTGATGTGATTATATAATATTGTCAGTAATTAACACACATTCCTTGATTACGAGGATGTCGATTAAATTGGTTTTGGTGAATTATCTAATTACAATCTTAGAGAGCGAAAATGGTTTCGAAATTGAAAGTCGGTAAAAACCAATTTTGATGTTCTCACAATGTTTGCGAGGAATAGTTAGATACAATTTACAAAGAATTTATTTATAACTCTTCGATTCAAGTTTTAACATTCACATTTTTTGATCCTTTATGTATTTATAAACTTTTTAAGACAAAGATATATATCTGTTGACCGTATTTTTAAGCTGTGAAGTTATTTTAAAACAATACTGTCCAATCAAATATCTGTACAAATTCAATAAGAGTATCTAATGTTTTTGAATTTCGATTGCAATACATAGAATATGGACTTATTTCACTCTCTAGTCGATAAGTAGTTACGAACTAAACTATTTCGGAAAACTGCGAAAGAATTGCTAATACCGATTAATCGCCTTGAAAGAAACAAGGAAGAAGTACTTAATCACTACACTCACTCCTAATCACTCCACAAACTATAACACCTTCAGTAGCATACAATATGTAAATCCCATTCACAAGATTAGACAAAAAAGAAGGATAAGTAAACTGAACTAAAAATAGCCCGTAATAAGACGAGTGCTGCTTCCCGTGACTCCATTAGCGTGTATCAGCCCGGTATCGAACCCTGGCCAGCGAGTATCGACACCTTAACGTGTCCCCAACATCTTATGGTATGAGATAAGACCTGTCATCTAAAAGCTAAGAGTTTAAGAGCTATAGTAAATTGCAGCAATCAAGTCAGAGCCGTATTATCCCTTAGGTGCACTAGGCAAGTGCCTGGGGCGCTAGGCTTTAGAAGGGCGCCGCTAGAGGCGCGTGCCCAACTGGACACAGAATGACGGCACAACGTCGCCAAAAAAATAGGGCCGTCTATGAGGTACTTGCTTAGGGCGCTCACTATTTTAAATCCGCGTCTGAATCGAGTCTTTGAGTTTCGTTATGGAATTTGCATGTGTGTCTAAGCTCAGAAACAGGACACTTATGGTGAATTTAAGGCTATCTTACTTGAGTTATGGTGGTCGAGACTTGAGAGAATTATGGTGGGAACTTTCGATGCACGCAGTTATAGATGGGATAAATGCAACCTATCGACCTATTAGACTGTAACTTGGGGAAAAAAGAAAAAAAATTCTCGAAAAGCTATGTCGTTGTCCATTTATATTATTTGCAATACGCAGGTCGAAATGTCCCACTAACTCGTGCGTCATGTTTTTTTTTAAAGGGGGAAAATCATCGAATGACTGCTCCCGCCTGGGTGAGGCGGGAGGGAGTGTCAGACTCTTACTGACTAAAAACCACCCCGTTCCTTCCCCTGCACGTCGAGCCGGAGCCCCGGTTACCCGTTAGGTTCGCTTATTCTTATGTTCACAAAAATAATCCGTGCATCCGAAATAATAAAATAAAAACCATTTAAACAATCCACTACAAACCAAAGTAACTAGATAAAATATATTCTTCTCTTGTGACCAACATCAAGAAGCGTATTGCTGTTTACGCCAACCAATATTTTTGTACAACATCCCAACATAACTTCATTAATTAAGAATATTTAACAAAAAATTCGTATAAAAGAAAAATTCACTTACTTCGTGAGTAGTATCCCCCTTGTGGATTCGTTCCTCTGTCTCCTGCACTCGTTCCGTGATGTTTCTCGTCAGGACTTTTCTGTCATGACTCTCACGCACCTTTCCATCTGGATTGGCTACTACTAGTGACGTCACGTGGACCTTGGTTCCGGCTGGGGCTACCACCCCGTCGATGAATGGGCTGTCGACTTCTGTGAAATTGTTTATTTATTTAACCCTTGATATGTCGGAACATAGATCTACGCGAAACACAGTGTCATTTTTATTAGTGCCTTATGTACGTAAGGCAGTCGCCAGTCAAAGGGTTAAAGGCATATTTTAAGGGGTTTAAGTAGGTTTACTACATTTTTTGCTGTTGGCCGAATCGATAGTATTATTGTAGTCCTTCGATTGTTAGTCAGTTACGTAATTCTTATAGTTTTTAATCTTATTGAGATTGAGAGTTAATCAAAATTAGTCTAACTGTATATATATATTTAGCAAGAGGATAGAGTTTTTCACGTTGACTTTTTCTGTTTTATTTATTTATTTATTTGGTAAAAATATTTTAAAAATATAGCTGAAGCTATACTTATTACTTACCATCAGGTGCCGCCCCAATTGCTTCAGGTTCCACCGCTTCCTCTTCGAGCTGTTCATCCGGTACTCGATGCTGAAAAAGCAAACATACCGAAAATATATTATTATTAATTATACGAATAAAAAGCCTTGGGTGTCTTCAAGGCCCGAGTGAATAGGTTGCTATAGGGTTGGTTGTTGGTTATAGGATAACGTGATCCATCGTAGACCGCATCATTGCTTACCACCAGGCGAGATAGTGGTCAAACGTCGCCCCATCAAATATAAAAAAGGCTGTTTTGCTCAAAACCGATAAGCGAGATTATTTTTCACAATAGCAAAATATGTCAATGTTCTGGCGGATTGCCACATAACTCATAATCAATTCCATTTTTAAATTTTATTTATCTCATGACTAATTATGAATTGCATTTTGATAAAATTCAAATCATATGTTACTTTGGAAAATGAAAAATCATAAATACCTCGGTTTGTTGGTAGTTGGTGGTGTGCGTGTCTTCGTTGACAGAGGTAGATATTTTAGGTCCCGAGTCGCTAAGAATTCGTCCATCTTCTAATATTAATTCCCGCTTTACTCTGGTTGCAATTTGTCGAGTGGTAGTCACTTCGCTTTTCTTCCGCGTCACCCATTCTTCTGCAAAAATGAAGAAAATAAATTATTTAATATTTATAATCAAAATATTATTTAATATTTATAACCAAAATATTATTTAATATTTATAATCAAAATATTATTTAATATTTATAATCTTTTTAAAAACAATGAGTAGTTAGTTAATAAATTCTACGAACCTTCTTTGGTTGTTGCTATTGTATCACCTGGTTCCGCCTGAAACAAAACAAAAAATTATTTAGTAACAAGAAAATTCTCATAACCAACTTGGATAAGGTTCTTGAGTGCAGCGCCATCTCTTACCGAATAGCTAAACTTATACAAATCGTAGTTAGTTGGTGGGTCAGCCATGAACTGTAATAGTACTCGCGGCCGTCGCTTGATGGCGCCATGTTCACTTAATGTGAAGACTGTGACCATTAAAATTCATAAAATAGCACTATTCGTTTAAAATTGCACTGCACAAATATCAGTCACAGTTCGCTTATTGTTTATTCACCATTATTTAACTATTTACACAATTTTCACTGCTAAATTCGTAACGTTTATAAAACATTACAATTTATTTGCACCTATAAACAAACACTTTCAACTAAAATTATACTAGAAGCTATTATATTTTACGTGTAGATAATAACTAAAGTAGCAAATACCGTGTATTCTAGCGCCGTGTTAATAATCGACTGAAGGAAAATCAAGGCTTAGCTGTAACTTAATTAATGAGCCGTGGATTAACATTTTCTTTTGGCACACAATGCTGTAGTAACGCGATGAGTATTCTGTCCGTACGCCATTGCTTCCGTTGGGACCACACGATATATTGAACTCTTCATACAATAAAATATTTATAAGAATCAAACGGCTTTTCCATGGAAACTATGTTTAATTCAGCGAAAATAGTTAAGTATTAAAATTACACGTGAGCGCACACAATGAAAGATGAAATCAAAATATGCAGCAAACTACGTTTCCGTGAAGAAAATTGATTTGAGTTTTCCTCTTAAAATTTTCGCTCACTGGAGTTCTTAAGGCCAGCAATGCGTGTCTAACAAAATCATAGAAGCTCTCATCTACATCCCATTCGAGTGGAGAACCCTAATATAATCCTTATTTGAATTTAACGAAAGGTCTATTTTCCGTATTTGAATTTAACGAAAGGTCTATTTTTCAAGAGTGCCATTAATAATGGTCTGCGAGGCAAGTAGGGTCTATTCAAAGTTACATAGTCTATGAATCACATTGATTATAAACGACACGGAAAGTTTTTCCATTTGTGTTCCACAGGGGAGGTAGAAAATACGGCACGTGACTGCGAAAGTTATTAGCTCGCCAAACGCGACCGCGTTGTCGTCAGGAAAATATAAATTTAAATAGTTAGTTTAAAAATGGTTGATACATTGTTTATTGTCGATTTAAAAGATTGTAATTCACAATACTGACGTCTCCTTTTTACTGACTTTTAACACGAGTGACTATAAATAGATCAGTTGTATGATCTTTGCAGATTTACTCATAAATGAACTTGAGTTTTTAACCTTTTTATAAGTACTTAGGTAGCTGTTTACCTGTACTGTAGGTACATACGTATGCGTGTCTAATGTCTATCTACATCTAACCACGTATCTCTCTAACCATGTGGTTTTAGCGAATTACAAACTTAGATGAAATAGATTCTCCTTTATTTTTCTTATTGTTTACATTTATAACATTATTAGGTATGTAGCACATACACATACATAACATAACATCACACCTTTTATCCCCGAAGGGATAGGCAGAGGTGCACATTATGCCACTGTACAATGTAACACCCACTTTTCACTATTTATCTTATGAGTCCCGTGTAATAGGGGGTGAGCCTATTGCCATATACCGGGCACACTTCCAGCTTCCGTGCTACTACTGACAATTAAAAAACCCAGTAATAATTTGCCCGGCAGTCGCACTTGCGATCACTCGGCGCAACGAGGCAGCAGACACATACATACATAGACAAATTAAGTGAAGAACTCCTTCTTTTCCTTTCCTTTAAAATTCCAAGTCGAATTACATAATGACCGGTAGAGGCGCTCCCATCGCTTTTCATTCTCAACTAATCGGTCAATACTCTACGTTATCCACAACACATTTATCATTATACCAACACCGACCAACATGTTTATTTGCCATCACAAATCAGGAAACTAATCGTTGCTTTTAACCTGTCCCCGAACCCCCAAACGCTTCACTCAAATCCAATTACACGTACATTTGATAACATCTAGCAACATTGACCCGAGTGCCGTGCAAAACGTTCTGATTGACAATTTTTTACGACACAATGATATATGGCCACTTTGGGCGCTTGTATTCAACCAGTATACTTGTATTACAGACCAATTTGAAGCTTATACTCTGCTTCATAAAGTTGTTATTTGCGTTTGTGTGTTATGGTAGTTGAAGGTCAAGATTTACTGGTCGATAAATACACGTGTTGTCAGTATCGCATCTTCATTTCAATGAGGATAATAGATAGATGTGCACTTAGATGACTACACAAACGTTCGTATTAGTTTTTATTACATGTTTGTCGTTTATTTCGGTATAATAATAACGTATGGGTGGAATAAAGACTTGAAATATATTTGTTGTTGTATCTGGAGGCCAACTGTTGTGTTTTTTCTATGGCATAAGCCGGTAAATGAGCAGACGGATCATCTGATGGTACGCAATCGGCGTCACCCATGAACACCAAAGGCGTTACAAGTGAGTTACCGGCCTTTTAGGGATTAGGAGATTGAGGATCGTTGGGGATTCAGGAATTGGGGAGATTAGGGAAGGGGAGGGTAATTGGGCCTCCGGTAACCTCATTCACACGACAAAACTCAACGCAAGCGTTGTTTCATGTCGGTTTTCTGTGAGGCCGTGGTATCACTCCGGTCGAGCCGGCCCATTCGTGCCGAAGCATGGCTCTCCCACACTTATTTAATATGGAAGAGTAGTTTAGAATACTGATAGGGTATCTAATGCAATAAAAAGTACATTATGCATATACAGGCCATACAGTGCACTATTTTGTGTTTTTAAAGTAAGTGCGTCCAAACCCAAAAAGACTTTACGAGTCAGCAGTCCACCATAACTTAAAGCGGCTAAATATTTTTTCAATCCAGCACTAATGCTACGATTAATACTAAGCACGAATGCACGGTTGGCGCTATGGTTGGGCAACTGACTGCCAAGCAACGTCTCGCGGGTTCGATTCCCGCACGGAACAGCTCTTTGTGTGATCCACATACTGTTGTTTCGGGTCTGGGTGTCATGTGTATGTGAACGTGTATGTTTGTAAACGCACCCACGACACAGGATAAACTCCTAGTGTGGGGCAACGTTTATTTAAAAAAAACGTAGACAAAAAAACCATCAGAGAAAAAATTGCGTCACATTTTTCAACCACACCATTTTCATTTATGCCCCACAGCCGAAAGTATTCAATATCACAACTAAAGTACTATGTCTAACCTCGCGATCAAAGAACGATGATTGTAATTTGTCAAGTGTCATGTGCCATTGTGGCTGACTCATGACAATGACACAAAGTACCTACTGACACGTTCTGACGTTGGCCTGTCGATTGCCAATCAATCGTCATGAGCTGCCATCAGGTTAAGCACCTGAACTGACCTCGGTATTGATGGAAACATTATAATCGTGGGCTTGTAGGTGCAGACGAGAGACTTTCGGGCGATATTCTTGCATAAACTGGTTCACAGGATACTATGAACGTCAGTCTCAATAACCAACCCATATCTGATGATTTGATGTCTATAGATAGGTAATTAAAACTATCCGTTAATCCCTTTAGATCCCATTTGAAAACTTATTTTACTATAGGTTTCCCAACCCTTAACTTTAAGATAGTGACGAAGCTTCTCATTGGTCCTTAATCCTTACAATTGAAGATAATTCTATTAATTTCCGAGAACCCATTAGCGGATCTATTGACAAAACATAACAGGTCAATTTATCGATGTATCTTTATCACACTCTTGAATTGATTTTTGACCACAGCGGACTAAAGTTCCTCGTCTGCACAGAGTCGTATATCAACTTAACCTATCTTTGGCCAATATGTTGGAAACTGGGACGATATGTTGGGCAAAGATGAGAGTAATGACGAGATGAAATTTGATATTACGGAGAACATTTTTCTTACTTTAATATTAATATTTGTAATCTATTTAGACAGCCTCGTTTGTCATAGGTTTGTGATTGCGAGTTAAGTAGAATTATTGTTGATTTTGACAAGTTTTAATCTACATTTTTAGATCCGCTAGATAGGTACTGAAACATACTTATTATTGACTCAAAATCATATTACGATTATGCCAGACCAATCTACAGATCAAGATCCATTAATCAAATTATGCATAGCAGAAAGTCACTCAAAGAAATTCCCACTTTTTATAAAACGTTGCACTATAAAACAACTCATTATAAAACCATATTAATAAAAATAATCAACACTAAAATACAGTTACAAAATAAATTGTCCGTAACCATTTAATTAAGAGCCGGTCAAAACAACCCATCGTAAATTAACTGTCCCCTGCTAACCCTGCAATGTTAACGGCGACTACTTAACACTAATCTGGCTGACGATTAATTATACAGCTATCGGTGTTCCATCGGTACGTAAACAAATTAGCATGTCAGTACGTGTGTCACTGGTTCAAAAGTCGTGACGAGGCTGTTTTTGTGGGGGATAGCATTGACCACATTGACTGTGTATGGAGTTTGAGTTATGGACTGTTATGGACATGATTTTTAATGACATTTCCGATCTCTTTTTGGGCCAAAGTTATGTTCGTAATCTTATAGTTCCAGTAATAGTAAATACATGTTTTTTTTTAATAATTACCCTAAAAAAATTCTCTTTAAAACTTCATTTGATGGTGCTAAATGCTATGAGATACAATAAGTAATAAATATTGCTTGAAAAGTAAATAAAATCACAATAGCAACATTCAGTAAGGTGAATATTTTTGGTGTGTGTTGCTAGTCATAAAAGCAGTTTCACTTTCAGAAATGTCTCGATTTTATACTCCTATTCTGTACAAAGGAGAAAGTAATATGTCTGTACCACACTGATGTAAATTGTACCAATTCATGCCTTTGCCATTTCCAGAAATAGTAACAGACATGACGTAACATACATTGTGGATCTAAATTCCGAAAAT